GTGAATCTACTAAAAGCCTGGGTAGACCGTGAATGCTTCTTCGATGGGGAGGCCGATGACGACTTGGGGCCCAAAATAGGAGAAATACAGGAGGAAGATGACATCACGGTGGGGGAGGTTCTGAACCCCCTTCAAAGGAAACAAGCCCTCGTCCTGAAAACGGAATTTCCGCAGGTATTCTCTAAGATACCAGGACAGACCACCTTGGTAGAGCACTCCATTGAAACAGCCCCAGGAGTGGTGGTGAGGGAGAATGGGAGAACGTGGCCCCACCATGTGACGGCACTCTTGGAGAAGGAAGTCGAAGACATGCTGAATATTGGAGTTATAGAACCAGCCAAGGGCCCTTGGCGTAGTTTTCCGGTAATAGTGCCCAAGCCTGATGGGTCTTTGAGGTTTTGTGTAGATTTCAGAAAGGTGAATGCCGTCTCAAAGTTTGACGCATACCCCATGCTGAAGGTAGGAGATTTATTGGACAAACTAGGAAACGCCAGATACCCCTGAGCTCAATCTATTTAACAAAGGGATATTGGCAGATCCCGGTGAGGGCTCAGGATAGGGAAAAAACGGCCTTTTGCACACCAAAGGGGCTTTTCCAATTCGTTAAGATGCCATTTGGGCTCCATGGGGCCGCCGCGACTTTTCAAAGACTCATGGACTGGTTACTAGAATCACAGAGGGGCTGGGCGGCAGCGTACATCGATGACATCATTGCTTTCAGCTCTAGCTGGGAAGAGCATCTATCTCATTTGAGAAAGGTGCTATGTGAGTTGAAAAGGGCCGGGCTAACAGTTAACCCCAAGAAGTGTCGGATAGGATTAGACAAAGTAGAATATCTGGGGTTCAAAGTGGGACAGGGAGAGATACAACCACAAGAAGAGAAGGTCACCAAAATATCTAATTGGTACAGACCCAAGACAAAAAGAGAGGTGCAACAGTTTTTAGGATTGATCGGCTATTATCGACAATTTATTCCCCAATTCGCCTCCATAGCAGCACCTCTCACTGATCTCACAAGGAAGAGGGCTTCGGTTAAGGTCAAGTGGGGTCCGGTTCAAGAAAAAGCCTTCGAAACTTTGAAGGGAATAATTTGTGAGTTACCCATTAGGTTCTCCCCTGACTTCAATCTCCCATTCGTATTGTTCACCGATGCGTCGGATCGTGGCTTAGGAGCCGTGTTATCCCAAGTAAGGGAAGGGACAGAATACCCTATATTGTACCTGAGTAGGAAACTGAAAGTAGGCTTTCTTTTGTCTCCTGACCACATGGAATGGGGGTGGGGCCTAGGGGTGGGACTTCCTGCTGTAAAAGAGCGTGTCCCAGAACCCTGGACTCTTTTCCCTAGGAAGCTGGGCTGAGGGCAAAGGCCAGGTCTGTTTGCATGGATGCCATGCTGAGTTTTTTTTCCCCCTGGGCTTTCTTTTGTCTCCTGACCACATGGAATGGGGGTGGGGCCTAGGGGTGGGACTTCCTGCTGCAAAAGAGCGTGTCCCAAACTTTCTCAAAGTTTGTATCTGGCCTTAATATGGTAAATAGGAAAGCCAATTAGATTTGCATAAGCCAGGGAGTCAGGAAAGTTTTAAGGATCAGATCATACTTTTGCACTATTAAAGAGCAGGCCGGGTAGGTGGGGCTCGTCAGCCATGGAAGGCAGCCCATCTCGGAGAAGGAAAACTCCGATTTCAAACCTCCACTGCCTTGTGGCTATATCCACCGATGGAAAAGGCTTCAGGAGTTAACCTCGAGGCAAAATCCGGAGCTGGAGTCCCGAAGGCAGCTCGTGTCGTTCTGCCAACTCCTGCGACGTTGCTGGAACCAGTCGTATTGGCTCTTGCCTTTCCATTGGACCATTTCAGCATGAGTTCCGGGTCCTCAGTTTTGGCCTTTGAAATTCACCAGCTACATTTCAAAGGCTAATGGACAAAACTCTGCAAAGGCTCAGTGCATTTACTGTGGCCTATATCGATGATATAGGGATCTTTAGCAACACCTGGCAGGATCACCTATGTCATTTGGAAATAGTATTGCAAAGGTTGAAAGACGCGGGGTTAACTGTAAATGTCAACTAGGAAGCCCCAAATGAAGTACTTGGGTCATATGGTTGGGGGAGGTATAATCAAACCCCTAGAGGCCAAGGTAGAAGCAATACTCAAGTGGCCCAGACCCAATACTAAGAAGAAAATAAGATCCTTCCTAGATCTGGTGAGGTATTATAGAAAATTTATCTCCAGATTTAGTGAAATTGCTGCACCGTTAACAGAGCTGACAAAGAAAAGGAGCGATGTCCGCATTCCATGGTCCCATGACTGCGAGGTGGCTTTCGGAAAGCTAAAAGAAGCATTAACCAACCACCCTGTGTTGCATGCTCCAGACTTCAGTAAAGAATTCATCATCTACACAGATGCTACCGGGGTAGGAGCCGTGCTGTGTCAGTGTGATGACAACGGAGACCAGCATCCCGCCACCTATTGGGGAGGGGGAAAACAAGCGTTTAACACTTGCAGTGCATGAACACCCTTGCAGTGCATCAGCAATCAGGTTTTAATTGCAGTATTGGCACTTTGAAATAAATAAGTTGATTTTGTGTTGCAGTTTGGGCACGCGGGCTCAAAAGGTTCACCATCACTGTCTATACCATCACTTTACCTACCACACCACGCTGAATAGATGGTACATGTGTAATCTTCACACCCTATGGTCTTAGTCTCAATGTCAATCAAGGATACAGTTCAAAATGAAAAACAAATCATAACGAAGTGCCACCCATGGGGAGGAATAAACTCCAATTCTAAATGAATGTCTTTCCCAGGCAGTGCCACATGCACTGTGGGAGGGAAATCTCCAGATCACCTAACCCTCTTCCTCAAAACTACACCCTCTCAAGAGGTACCAAGGAATTGGTGAAGGGGACAGCTGCATTCTCCCTTGGCTTTATCCTTTTCAGGAAAGCATGCAGGGACCAAAGCTCAGTCAATAAAGCATGTTAAAAAGCTGGCAGCATCCTGATCCCAAAGATGTAAGGCAACTCCCAATGTATATGCGGAGTGTGCTCTGCTTTGCTCAACAAGGGGCACTTTGTGAGGCTCCCAAGATGGAGGCCATGTTATTGCTCAACTCTTAGCCTATGAACAAGGGGCACTTCAAGGTGTGTGTGTGCCCTAGTTTTTTCCCCCTCACTTTCCCCACAACCACTAAATGACCAGATGAAAAGTACAAGAGCTAACAGAGAGCAACCCCTCTGGGAGTTTTGAAGGAACCATATAAAAACACACTAGTTGTAAATACATGATGAGTCCTGCTGCCATAAAATCAATATCTTAGCCTATGAACAAGGGGCACTTCAAGGTGTGTGTGTGCCCTAGTTTTTTCCCCCTCACTTTCCCCACAACCACTAAATGACCAGATGAAAAGTACAAGAGCTAACAGAGAGCAACCCCTCTGGGAGTTTTGAAGGAACCATATAAAAACACACTAGTTGTAAATACATGATGAGTCCTGCTGCCATAAAATCAATATTGCATCATAGACACTATCAAAGGCCAGAGAGAGAGAGAGAGAGAGAGAGAGAGAGAGAGAGTCAACAGGGCACAACAGTGCCTATCAATCTCTCAGGGGACATATGAATGCCATTTCAATACCATGCCCAGATGAAAATCTCAAAATGAAAGAAACTGAGGGTGCCAGAGCTACTACCTTTGAACAGACACTGATTTATTCAGCATGTAAAATCCTGATAGAATGTAAACTGCAGCAATGTATTTCCAAATTGGCTGAACAGGTAAAAAAATTGATGTGCTGTGGTGCACAATGAAACAATAAAAGTACAAGTTCATACATATACACATATTTATATGATTATGATCTGATTCATGAAAATAAATGTAAGTTTTATGGTTAAAGCAAATCGATGTCAGCAGCATGCTGCAGCAGAGAGCAAGACCAATTAATTGGGGGAAAGGTTTTGAAATATAACAGATTATGCCATTACTGTACATAAATTACTGTGGTCACATTTGCAACACGGGGGGGGTGGTGGTTTCTGGCATCACAAATATTACACCCCCACCACCTGGCATGTGAAGTCCAGGGTTCCACTGTCTCCCTGTGTACAGTAGGCAGAACATCTCACACCTCATACTAATTGGCCACAAACGTCAGAAGAAATAGTTTGCAAGTTGTCTAGTTAAAGCATATCATCCCTTGCTACAAGGGATGGTTGCAATAATGTCCAGCTAGTCTGGAGACCCCAGGGAATAAACTTGGGAAATTTTGCGGGCAAAGCCTCTGCTCCGTCCTTCATTCAGTTTCAGTCTCCAATCGTACAGCTCGATCTGCTGCATGCCCCTTTGTATGTAAATCTCGTAAATTTCATTTACAGTCCCCTTGCATATCGCACCCCGACGCAAGCAACAAAACCCAGCTTGAGCTAAACAGAGGCTACTTCCAAGTAGAAATGAAGTTGTCAATGCAGTATTTTAATCCCTTCACACCGGATGGTGGATTCTTCGGAACTTAAGCTAAGCTTCCAACCAACTTCTTCAGGGGGGCATCATAAGATCAAAATAAATAGGGAACCCAGAATGTGTGCAGAGACAACCATACAGCCCGGTCGGCAGAATTTTTTTTAAAAAGGAACAGGATTTGAGCCGCGATCCTATATATATACAGCCTCGCGGGAGAGGCTCAACTGACTGATTTTCCTTCCAGCCGATCCACCCAGGTTCAGCCGCACAAAAGCGACCATGGACTGCCAAACTCCTCTCAGGTGGGCACCGACGGCTATCCGTTTGCTACGTAGCTCAAGCAAGACCAAGGGCGGAGACGCCAAAGGCGGGAGGAAAGACCAAAGCGGGATCCGAGCGCCCCGGCGGCGCTTCTTTCCCCCGTCCGCTCGCCTCTTTCTGGGGCAGCCGAGGACTATGGCGGGAGGGGGAAGCGAAGGTGTTTTGGCTGCCAGGCGGGCTGGCGAGCCACGGAGAGGAAAAGCGGGGCGGGGGGGAGGAGAAGGA